CGAAACATACACAAACTCCATACACTAGTTCGTAGAAAAATTTATAAATGAATAATTCGGGTGCAACATTATGGAAAAAAGACATACATATAGTATAGTTTAGGTAATTAAGTAAATAAATAAAATATGCATTAACACTTATATACAGACATACATTCCAAGTAAACAAAAAATAAATAAAACAAGCAACGTTGAAAGATTTAGTAAATGCCATTAGGTATGGGTGGTTATGTACAGAGTCTGTACTACAGACTGTATATACGCAAATNTAATAATTCGGGTGCAACATTATGGAAAAAAAACATACATATAGTATAGTTTAGGTAATTAAGTAAATAAATAAAATATGCATTAACACTTATATACAGACATACATTCCAAGTAAACAAAAAAAAATAAAACAAGCAACGTTAAAAGATTTAGTAAATGCCATTAGGTATGGGTGGTTATGTACAGAGTCTGTACTACAGACTGTATATACGCAAATATTATCGTAAATGCATACCAGTTGTGTGAAAAAAATTCCATTAGAAATTAAAAACTCATCACTATCGTACACATGGTTTAGCAAACGTGCAATAATTCTTTGAAATAAAAGGCAGATGTAAAAAAGTTATTTAACCAAGTGCGCAATTTCCAATTTTCTATGCGGGTATTCGCTATTTGAATTACTAAACCGCTGTTTATGTAGATGGGCATTAGGGCGAGAGTCAATTTGTATGGCAGATTTTTTCGACTATGCGGATAGGGTAAGAAGTATTCTACATGAAATTCTAAGAGTATAGAAACCATGGCGATAGTAGTTAGCAGTGCGCAATACCATTCCGCAGAACCTGGGGTCGAGCCCAGTTTCCGACCAACAACAAAAAAGTTGTTTCTAATAGCAGTCATCCGCTTGCCAAATTGCGAAAATAAATTTTTTTCCTTAGTCACGTTTTATTTTGCGCCAGTGTCATTAAGATTTTTTTAAATTTTGTATAAAAACATGCTATGTTGGGTTTTTTTAATATGAGGAATCCATTTCTGGACTTATCTTTTTCCTAAAACATCCGCCAGTTTTTATAAAAAATCAAACACTACAGCCAAATAAAACATTGCTGAGAAAAAAAATCTATTTTCGCAACTTGGCAAAATGGAAATTGATTTTACACCCATGGTTTCTTCGGCAACTCAGCTTAGAATTTCACGTAGAACAACCCTATGCCTTACTCAAATAGCAAAAAACAAAATCGACCCTTCCAATTGGATACGGTTACTGTCCGGGTTTATCCATATGTATTTCAATAGCATCTACATATACTTAGCCAAAATTTTTACTCGAATTATCGTGTGCACACAAATGCGCTCGGTTAAAATCAAATCAAATCATTTTCTTCTATATGGAAAGTCCTCAAGGATATCTGGGCATTTCCGGCGGTGTCGTTGTTTCATAAGATTGCTCGTTTGTTAAATTGAGAGTGATGCAAATGCATATATACATAAATATTTGGGAACTTTGTAGGCTTCATTTGATACTTTGTTAAGTTTACACAAAGCAATTGTTAACTTCTAATTTATTAAAAGACGCTTATGTAAAGTAAATAGTATATATATACATACATACGTATACNCCTCAAACAGCAAAAAACAAAATCGACCCTTCCAATTGGATACGGTTACTGTCCGGGTTTATCCATATGTATTTCAATACCATCTACAAAATTTTTACTCGAGTTATCGTGTGCACACAAATGCGCTCGGTAAAAAAACGATAATGATAGACTTTGATTTCTTCAAATAATTTTCTTTTTAATGGAAAGTCCTAACATGGTTCGGATATTAAGGATATCTGGGCATTTCGTGCGGTGTCGTTGTTTCATAAGATTGCACGTTTGTTAAATTGAGAGTGATGCAAATGCATATATACATAAATATTTGGGAACTTTGTAGGCTTCATTTGATACTTTGTTAAGTTTACACAGAGCAATTGTTAACTTCTAATTTATTTAAAGACGCTTATGTAAAGTAAATAGTATATATATACATACATACGTATACATATACAGACAAGCACTTGTTAAATTTTTTTAATTTAACTTTTAATTATACTAATTCTTAAAATGAACTATTCGAAATTAAGCGAAAGAAAATGCAAAGGGAAATGCAAACAATTAATATTTACAATTTTACGAACGGGTACACAACACAATAAACTAAAAAGTATTATTGAAAAGTATTTAACAGATGCAATTAAGAGCGTTTCAAAAGTAGGAGCCACAAAAAAAAAACAACTAAATGAAAAAAAAACAATTTTAAAAAGAAGACAAGCAATTGCAAACGACGATAGTAGTAACAAAAACGACAAACGCAAAAACAAGAAAATAAAAGAAAATAATATTTGCACTTTTTAACAGAGTAATAGGAATGCATAATAATCAAACTAATCAATAAAGTGAAGAATATTAGGTAAATTGAATAAGTTTGCCGAAGGCTTACTCTTTAACACAAGTCAGTTTAATGCAAGTGAAGTAAGCACAAAAAAAGATGCGACCAAAGCATGCACACACACACACACACACACACACACATACACACAAAATTAAAGCAACTAAAAAATGCACATAACAAATAAAAAAACGTGAATAAATGGAAAAGAAGAGAATCATAGTTATTAATTTAGCCAAGTTACTGTCAACAACCAAAATAAAATACTAATAAAAATTGAAGCATAAGCGAAACACACAAAAATTTACTAAACTTACATGCTGTTACAAGTAAATTATTCAAAACGCGGACAGACAGGTATGCAATGAAAAGATAATCGTACAAGCAAGCACTAGATATTTTGAGAATTTGAGAACCATACATGGAATCGCTAAGGTCATTAGAAAAATGGTAATAATTTGATTACAAATAACTCAGGTTGAATTATTTTTAAATGTGACAGCTGGCAGCAGTAAATGTATTCAATATTTTTTTTTTCCAGTAAACTAAGAGAAAATCTAACACAAAATGCCCCACCACAGCAGCACAAGACCCTCTTCTAATAAGGAATTAGACAAATGAAGATCAACGCCATTATTAGAATTAGCACAATTTGTAGTCCCTTTCACCGCACATCCTTGCATAAAAATCACCCTGCAAGTGCTTTGTTCCCGTAAAATACGCAAAATACATTGGAGGCGATCAGAGTACCATAAACTTCGCTCAACACCATAATCTACGAGATGTACAATACGCATTTCTTCTTTAAATTCTGACACACACAAATTGAAGCAATGTCTCAAGTAATGAAAGAGAAGAAAAAAAAAGATTTTTAAATTTTCTGTAACTACGCAAATTTTCATTTAGGTGCATTCAGTTGTAGTGGTGTTCATGGCAGAAATTTTTACTGTTTGCGAATATAAAATAAGAGAAAAGTCTTTCGTAAAGGCTGGTTTTCACTATGTCAAACTCGATGGCATTTGTAGTCGAATAAGTTAAAACGCATTGTCAAATGGAACCAAAAGACGCTTTATCCATTTATTTAGATCAGAATAGATCTTTAGGCGTGTACATGTGCCGCTAAATTGGTTATCTGTACAATGTTGGCCAATAATATAATCGGTAAATGATGGGAAATGGACATAAGGTTGTATCAAAATATGTCGCCAAAATATGACATAGTGAAAACCAGCCTTAAGTTAGTAAAATATTTTCGGCTAGAGTATATAAGATTGATTAGGGCGATATTAAGCAGATATTGAAATGATAGCTGATCACGTTACATTTATTCTCCTTTTTCATCCTCTTTATGCTCTTTGACCAAAGGCTGTTACGCAGACGATGAAATGGCCAACGTATCTGTTGTACTCGTTTGGTAGTACCTTTTTTGTGACTACTGTCATTGATGACATAAAATTCCGGGGTAGTTCGAAATTAGTCACGAAACGATCATAACTGAATCGCCTAATGCTTTGCCTAGGCGTGCACAGATGTTTACGCATCAAATTTCATGAGTACCAGGTGCAGACGCATTTTTTTACTATTTATTTAAACTACAGTAAGAACAAAAATAGTATTTTTTAGTTTTTTCTTGAAAGAGAGAGAGAGAGAGACGGTTGTAGATAAACTGCTCTTCATAAGTCCATAATCTAAAATTCTAAAAATTTCCACTGCATTTAAGTTATTTGAGACCGTGCTTCAAACACTAAACACATACATATTTATTAGCGAAACTGCCAATATCATTACTTACACTCATTTAGGGCCGGTTGTACAATGTCTGATTAGTACTAATCAGAGGTAGAAGCTCCGGTTAAACACAATGACTGCCTTATCGATCACATTTTATATGAATGATGTTGAAAACGTCGATAATGATCTTTAACCGGCAAGTAGTGATAGCCAGGCATTGAACAACCGGCCCTTATTGTTTCTTCACTTAATTTTTAGTTTTTTCATATTCACAAAAAAAAAATTGTATGAATAAAAAAACTACACGGCATGCATGCGATGCATAATTTCTGAATGAATTCTCATCAGCTTCCTCCTTCAGCATCCAAAATACGCAGATTTAGTGTAAGCACACTATTTGCTTTGCAACAGTTCTAGCACTCATACCACTCTCAATCTTTCCCCATGAAACTGCACAACAAAAACAAACTCCTAGTAGTTAACCTGGCATACATACGTGATTACATACATAAACATGCACACATTTACTGTATTTCTGAGCTTATTTTGTAGTTTTTGAGAGAACAAAAAATATTGCAAGTATGTATCTTTAAGATTCTATGGTTTCAACGGGTTGATGATTGTAATCGAATATTTCTGCAAATTCAAACAAAAATCATAACGAACTTAAGCCCAAAAAAAAGGGGAACTAATTTAAGTCAGTTATCCAATAGGCATGGATGGATGAACTTGGAACTAATATCCCCCATAATAGTAATAGTAACTGTACACAACGCTGACTACTTAACGTGTTAATTTAAAACAAGAAAAAATCAGTACACTTTCTAGATAAGGGACATAAAAAAAACGTGTATCGTGTTAGTGAAATACACAAACAAACAAACAAAAAAAAAAGTTTTGAAACAACAAAAAGAAAACTTCAAATTGAAAGAGTGAATAATAACTAAGGGGTGGTTGATGAACCCATTTGAAAACTGTTGCCAAACTAAACTAAAACCGCTAAAATTACGTTTTACTAAAATTGAATTAAATTACAATTAGACTTAAATAGACTACTCTAGACTAGGGAGATGCCTGAAATGCATGAAAAAGGGCGAAACATTCTGTAAAAAATATTTCACATTATGCTTCATTATGTTTGCCTTCCCCTAATACTGCAACTTGTTTTTTTTATACTTTTGAAAGTGAATAATTGAAGTTCTACAGCTGCCTGTATTCCATGTGCTAAGCAAGTTAATTTTGCATAAAACATCTGCCTTTCAGGCTATTTACCTTACACATAGTTAGATATGAATTGCATCACACGAATAAACAGAACTTTTGCTCAAAGGCGGTACTTAGCTTAAGAATTCATTAAGAAAATGCTCGACACACATAAAAGACTACTACCACTTACAAGCGTCAATGCGAAATTTTCATAATGACATAGTGCAATTCACTACTTTGAGAATCAAAAAAGTACACACGAGAAAAAATAAATAAAAATTAAAAATTAAAAAATGCCAAAAGTTAACGGCCGCTTTACTCCAAACGAGTTGATATTTTTCTCCCCCGTTTTTCTTTGAGTGAAACCTGAATACACATTTATGTATATGCAAATCTGTATGCATGTATTTTTAGTATGAGAAACAGTTAACTGCTGTCCTTAATCGAGTTTTTAATTTCGAAATATAGAATAATTAAATTTAATACACACCTACTACATACATACATACATACATATGTAACTTAAGTACTTCCATAGGTGGAGGGCAGAAGTGATTTACTTCCGGTTATTATTGAAAATTATTGTTGAAAGTTTTATTAAATATACATACATACATATGTATGTACCATAATTGCATATGCGTATTTCCTTTACTGCATCTCATCGCAGCAAAAAATATTGCAGAAAAATGCTCAGTTCGAGTTTAAGTGAAAGCTGCTCTTACTTACAAGAGAACTTCAGTAAAAGAGGGCCGTTGAAAACCTAAAGTAATTGAAAATCAGTTGTTATATAAGCAGAATTAAAGTTACAAAAAAAGAAAATATAAATAAGTAAACAAATGCCAAACGAAAAAACATACACAACATAGATAACCTGTGAATGAAACGTACATTCGAATGATTCTATTAACACATACCATACATACATATGTACACATCTACATATATATGTGTATACATACATATATGTATCTACATATAGTCATACATATGTATGCATGTATGTACGCGAATGTACCCAGACGCACTATGTATCGGCAGGTTTAGGTTGATGAGTTACGTTAATGACGAAATTTGAAGGTAGTGATAGTGGTAATAAAAGTCACGGGCAAAATGAGGCCTAAAAGCTGAAGCTGAACATTGAAACAGCATTAATATATATACTTATATATTATACATATATATATATTTAACTAGATTAATACAATAAATCGCATAAAGTCAGCAAAAACCAAAAACAACAAAGTGAAAACAATACCGATAAAAATGACAAACACTAAATAAGAATTAACGAAATGCAAAGAAAAGAATGAAATCCACAAAATAAAATTGAAGAAAAATAAAAACCACAAAAAATACACCAAAAATAAATTGAAATAAAATGTGCGTTTTCTTTGTATGCCAAAAGATCAACCATGGTATGTCATACCTTGTCTGCAATTTTCTTAAGAAACAATGGTCTTATACATATCGCCTGTCGATATCGCAGGTGAAGTTTGCTCCTTCTCAACGCATATTTCATCAAGGTATGAGTGTATGGAAGGCACGCATGGATCGAAGTTTGACAGAGGTCTTTACCAGGTAGCCACCCCTAAATTTGGGCTTCCAGATCACCGTGGCGTGTTTCAGGTTGAGGAAGCAGTCGATTGTCTGCTGTTAGGCGCGGTGGCGGTAAGAAAGGTTAACATCTACTGATACGGGCAGGCGGCAATAAGAGCCCTGGGCTAAGTAGACCCCGTAGCGAATGTCATGCATTAGTCACTTAAGAGTCTTGTACGGAAAAGTTACGTCTTAAATGACTTTGGGCTCGGTTTGTATGGAAGTCGTTCTTGACTTTTTCATATAAATGGTAATTTTGTCGTTGATGTTATCTGCATGACTTGGTCATGCAGTGATCATTAATGACATTCAAG